GTGGGAGCAGGAGAACAACACTGTAGGTTATTCCACAGAACAGTTTTCATTTGTTTCCTCTTCTGTAAGGCAAATAATAATTTGCCTTTTACTCAGTACCTTGTGATGAAGGCATGACAAAACCAATCAGCACCACAACTCGATAGGTACACTGTTGCCATTGCTTTCCCTTCCCAATCCTGACAACTACTCATAGAGGCAGGTCAATATTAAGTTTCACTTTACTGTTTGCTGCCTTTAATAGAATGACACACTTCCCTGTTTCCCACAGATTTTGGAACTACTGTTTTTATACGAAGATTGTTTTAATGGTGTGAAATACAAAATAAACTAAGGACAGCTTAACTCTCATCAACTGCTCCTAGTACAGTGGGTAGAATTCAGGAGTGTTCTGACACTATTACTGATCTGAAGGACAAGCAAAGAGAAACTACTTATTATCTGCACTTGTCACAGAACAGCATCACACAATCTCAGGAACTGCTTTACGACTTTTGCACCACTATTAGCTCATGTATTTGGGATGTAAGATTATGCATGGGGAACCAAAGAATCCAAAAGCCAATAAAACTGAAAAAGCCTCAAAATTAGCAATGCTAAAGTAAAAGTGATCTGCAGATCATAAAATAATATAAATAATAATAATATAAATAATAAATAAATAATAAATAATATTTTGCTCTTGAAATTTTGTATGTTCCATCAGTATACAAATTGAAGATGCCAGGAAGTAAATTATTAGCTTACCAGAGAAATTACAGAATTCCTATACCAATCATGCCTTTTTAAAGATTCACTATCACAGAGGCTTTTGTCCTCTTCTTGGTTCTTCCCTCTAACATACAATTTCCAGACTCTCAACTAAATTGGGTCAGTGGGAGAAGCTGCAGTGCAGTGAGGAGAGATGAGTGGTAAAATAAACTACCACCAACAAAAGCAACCCTGAGCATGTGATCACCAAGAGCTGTAAAATTAGTATGACAAGTTATGTTTTTAAATGAACATAAAACATGCATCATCATTCTTAAAGAATAAAATAGCTCCACTTAGTATAAAGGCTTTAAACTCTTCCTAAGGGACAAGAATCACACACAGCTTTGAGTGCTCCAGAGACCAAGCAAGCACCGTGACACAGAAGCAGAGCTTCCTTTGAAACTGTGCATCAAAAAGAAGATAACAGCTTTTCTTTGTAGCATCACCACGGATTTACAATTTCCAATAACGTTGCTTTCTGATAGTTTAAATACAAACTTTACTAGCACTAAAGATTAATGTCTATGCCTCCTAATTAGTTTAACCCTTAAATATGTGAAGATAAAAATTTAAGTTTTCCTAATGAGTTAACACAGGCTGTTTGTTTCAAGAGAAAGTTACATCAATATATTCCTTTCAAATATATTCCTTTTTCAAACAATCAATAGGACACTCAACACAATCATTACTGAATCTTCATTCTAATTCTTAATAAACAATTGAATGCATGAGCTTGTCTGTAAATAAACACTATACAGAATAAAGCCCTGTATAGTGAGAAGATACTTAAGGTTTTCACTTGAAGTCACCATGTATCTGTATGATGTCATATTGTGTACAGTTTTATGCCATTTTACACTTTACTATGAACAAGTGTCCTGGTTTCGGCTGGGATAGAGTTAATTTTCTTCCTAGCAGTTGGCATAGTGCTGTGTTTTAGATTTGTTATGAGAATAGTGTTGACAACTTACAGATGGTTTAGTTGTTGCTAAGCAGTGCTTACACTAAGTCAAGGACCTTTCAGCTTCCCATGAGCTTCCCATGCTCTACCAACTGAGAAGGCTGGAGATGCACAAGAAGTTGGGAGGGGCACAGGCAGGACAGCTGACCCAAATTGTGTGAAGGGATATTCCATACCATATGATGCTGTGCTCAGTATATAAACTAGGGGTAAGCTGGCCAGGGCAGGGCTGCTGCCTGGGGACAGGCTGGGCATGGGTCGGTTGGTGGTTGAGCAATTGGTTTGCATTTGCATCACTTGTCTTCCTTGTCATCACTTCTCTCTCCTTTTGCTTTTTTCATTTTAATTAAAATTTATTATTATTATTATTTTATTTCAATTATTAAACTATTCTTATCTCAACCCATAAGTGTTCTCACTTACTCTTTTGATTGTCTCTCACATGCCACCAGAAGGGAGTGAGCAACTGGCTGTGTGGGGCTTAGCTGCCAGCTGGGGACAAGTCAGAAGATGTTTACATGACATAAACATCCAGTGACCTAAATAAACCACCAGTAAGCTGTCTCTTCTGAATTTGGTCAGAAGTAAGACAGGTCTTACTTTTTTTTTTTTTCCCCCGATTCTATCCCCTATCCCACTAAGGTATGAGGGGAGTGAGCAGTTGTGTGGTGCTCAGTTGCCAGCTGGGTTAAACCACAACAATAGCCTTATAAAGTACAAAAGTGCCATTACTGGACAATCTGGTTTATTGTTTATTATTATTAAAGGTTAAAATTGAGAAAGAAATGCACAGCATGAAGAAAAAAGAAAGTGACTGGCAGGATCAAAATAGCAACCAACAAATTTCTGCAAAATTTTTATATGAAACACATCCTTTTTATCCTTCACTTTTAACGCTTGTCCCTTCCAAAAACAGAAAAATGGATAAAGAGGATTCCAGGATACAGTGTTTATCAGCAGCTCTACTTTGTAGCATGAAAGACATCCACTTTTGTTACTTTGATTTCTGTTGTTCTGCAGAACTAAATCTATATAACTTAGTTTAAGAAAATAGTATTTGGGGAAAACAATTCTTGCTTCCCATGCATCCAAAAACCACCATGGATTCATAGCAAGCTGCCAAAAAGATTTGTCTCTTAACCGATAGTTCAGTTTAAAAGCATGAAAGTACTTTTTCTAACTTACAAATTTTCAGAGCCTTACAAATTGTTTAAAAACAAAAATTCCCATTCTCAATTTAACCACAACACTCTAAAGACACATGTTTTGGATTGTTTTCCCTTGGAGTATTTAATTTTTGACTTCACATTTAAAGCTTTTCTCCACAACAACAGAAGCCAGAAATTTTTTATTTTTTTAAAGGAAGATTCATGTTCTCAAACATTCACATAACTCTAGGACTAGAAGGTCTAAGAATTGTCCACTTGAAGTCAAGTGGCTGGAAAGTAATAGAAGTCTGCACAAATGATGTGCATCACATAAATTAAGTACTTGAGTAAGCTCTTGTCTTAATAGATGAAAAGATTTGCATCAAGATCAACAACAGTATCATACTTCTAGTCAGAAGCTGAATTTTCAATTACTACTTAATATTTTCCAGGAGAGTAGTGTTGTAAGCAGGAAAAAACATGGTCACACCTATGATACCCACAGTTCTTGTCCTTTTTGTCTCATCTGTGTTTTGTTTCCTCCCCACTTCCTTAGTGATATGTCTTATCAGTTTCTCACCACATGACACTTTCTCATGCAGCAGTCGCTGTTCCTCAGCCCAACTCTGCTTCATCTGTTGGAAGAATTGCTAACAAACTACCCACTGTAAGAATCATCCTTCAGATTAAAGCTTCACTATTGATACACTATTTCTATAAATCAGGGCAAAGTTCATCATCTCAGACTGCCTGGAGACTCATGATATTTCTGTTTACATTGTCCTGTGTATGCAGAAAGCCTACATCTGTTGCTTAAATGAATCCTCCATCTTTTCAGTATATATGGACAAGCTCTTCCTTCTTTTTCCCCTCTCCTAAATATCACCAGTTACACAAAATGAACTTTTCCCTTCAGTTTTACTTCACAATAATACATCCCCTAACAGTCTTCATTTCTTCCAACTCTCAATAGAATGCACAAGTCACTTGATGAAATAATAATTTTCCCTGGTCAAAGTATACCATGAAGTGATTTAACAGTAACACTAAAATCATTTTACTGTTAAGCCCAACTTCTTTAGTTTTAAACCTACCCTTTTGCTTACAAAGATACAACAAACTATGGGAGAGATATGATTCTGAGAAGAAAACCTATGAAGCAAACACAAGTCCTGAATTTTATTGATGTTTAAATCCACACATCCTGGTAATATTCTCTGTGTTTTATAAAATACCGGTCACTAGAAGTTACCACTTTTGGGCAGCCTACAGTCTTAAATTAGATTGCTGTGGTTAAACACCAAGTTATTAACACTCCTTAGCCTAGAACACAGTTTTAATCTTCACTTTGGATTGCGTGTTTTGAGAACTCCAGATCCTGCCGAGACCTGGCTTTTTTCTCATCGTGTGTTATAAGTCGCTCTCCCTATCTTTTAAGTACACAGTGAAACAGCAACTACTACCATGATAAAGAGTTCTTCCAAGAGAACATTGTTCTCAACACTCTAGGCTATGCTTGTCACCATGCACTAAAAATACTGATTTTTTACACAAAAACCAGACAAACCCTATAGCTCCAAAATAAAGTTTACAAAAATAAAAAATTCACAATGAATCATAATCTTGTTCCTTGATGATTCTACACCAAAGAGTTATTACTGTCCAGTCCTCAGCCCTACAAAGAACAACCATTACAATGCAAAAACAAGCAACTGAGAGGAGAAGCAATAAGGGAACACAGCATAGACTGAATGATCTTTGGATTTACATAGAAGTCCCATTAGTGTGTCTATATATATCAAAATATATAAATATATACACATACATTTGAGACTTATCTTACATGATGGTAAGACAAAAATTGCCATTAGCAAACCAATTTCTCTGTAGAAAGTATGTTATGGGATCCTGCAAATAAGACCTAGCAATGAAGAGTTATTTTCAAGTTACTTTTACATTTTTAAAGCACTTAATTTTACTTATGTACTTTTTTTTTCCTATTTCGGAAAACAAAGCCATTGCACATACAAAAGGTCTATTTCAATAAACTGGAAATCACATATTAGTGGATATAGCGGTCTTGTACAGAATAAAAGGGAATTATATATAAACACAGTCTTCTTCAGTGACAGACTTACGTAACACTTCCAAACTCATGACAAGTAAGACAATTCAGTTTTTGAAGCAACAGATAGCTGATTTTAACCTGGAGGAAAAAAAAAAAAAAAACAAACAAACTAGAACTGCATCAAATTATAGACACTAATATTTTTTATCAGAAAGTGATGCCTATACTCATTGACCTTTGCTTTAAACACTCACTTTAGCTCATGCATTAAGTTGATCTATAAGACTGGACAATACATGTAGTTTTGCCACCCACACTTTCACTCACACTTTCATACCCCATCCCTATAACTACTTGGTTGTCTGGAGGAGAAAGACCAAGGAAAAAAAAAATAAATTAAAAAACCTAAACAGCTCAGGAGACTGTGGATGTCTGCAGTTTGTACACATCTTCTGAAACTGACCAGTTTTATAAGGAGAGCAAGCTTTTCTGTACCTCTACCAAATTTTATTACACAGAAACAAGCTTGCTAGCACTGACAGAAACCAAATGAAAAATAAACAGATCATATACTTTTGAGTTCAAGAAGTTTCTTCCACAGAAACTAAGTTTTGTGCTACAGCTTCCACCACACCCAAGGTCTTATACTGTGCACCACATAACTTCACAAAAAATCATTACAGATTTCAAACTGACCGTGTTTTGGGAAAGGACAGGTAACTGAAACACGGCGGAATGAAACAGACATGAAGCTCGAGTAATTTTTCTGGTATCACAAGACCAGAACAAATAGCTTGTCTGTATACATGGAGCAAGAAAGAGAAATTAGAGACTAGAAAATAAAAACAGGTGAACAGACAAAGAAAAGAAAGAGTAAGAAAATGAATGCACTATAGTTGGTAGTAAAATGAGAAAATGAACAACCAAAAGCCCCGCAGAAGTGGAATCGCAAAGAAAATCCTAACCAAGCTGAGCACAGCTCGGTAGAAAAAGGCCTAACAAAACCAAGAGGGATTACATGTAATTCAGAAATTAAACTAAGTCGCCTGGTAATATTACAAGTCAGTAAAATACGCAGATGCTACATTCATTTAATTTGCAGTGGTCTTTGGGATCACTGTGGCAACATGCATTTCATGCTGACTGCCAAGCAATATAGTAAGTGTTTCTAGCCTAGAAAATGTTATGGCTGAAGGCATACAGAATCATAGAAACATTTAGGTTGGAAAAGACCTTTAAGATACGGGAGTCTCCACCTCAGAAAGGGTTAAATTGTAGTGTACACATTCAGATGGAGCCTTTTAAGTATGTTGTCACTCTGGACAAGCGCATAAATGTGCTTTGAATCCTCCCTTTAAAAATGTCTATGGCCTTTTCCAAAGTCTTGCAGACTAGGAATTACCTAGCAAGCAAGAATCAAAGGTTGGAGCAATACTCTTAACCAAATCACTGCAAGGTGCAGTAGAAGAGATCTGCAGTGGCCTGCTCTTCATTACAAATGGAAGCTGTTTCACGCCCTTCTTATGTGCCACTGCACATGTAGCTACCATGCCACCTAAAGACAAGAAAAAGGGCTACAAGTCCCTGATTTCTCCACAAGGTCTGATCCCAAATCAGAAGACATGGTAAGATTTGATTTCTGCCTATACCCGAACTGGTTTTGGATCATCCTTATTCCCATGATTAAAGCAACCCACCTCCCAAGAGATAACAATGTTTTGTTTAAATGGTAAGATCCTAGTAGGGAGTACTGACCCCACCAGACACTTGTGCATTTGAGTAAAACATGTACACTTGCACAGGGTGTAAGTATGCCAACATTATTTTGATTGCTTTGCTTCTGGTATTCACTATTGAGAAAGAATGACCTGTCGTCTTTTCCTTGACTTTAAACACCACTGTAATACACCATGCCTTTTAACAAATAAGAATGGCAGCAAGTTAAACTACCTGTAGTACAGTGTGATTAAGAAAGTTAATTGCAAAGATAATGGTTAGATTACTGAATCATATGAGCATTCATTCCATTGGCTTTCACAGGAAATTTCGGGTGCAGTTTCCTGGTCAGTTTAAGCTGGTACAAGGCTGCAGTGATCAGAGGCAGTCAATGTCATTCCCCACCCTTGTGTTTTCACAGCTCCCCCTGCAGTGACTAACAACTGCAAGGCAGCATGGTGCCAGAATAATTTACTATGTGGTTCACACACGACAATCGCTACACCACGAAGGAGGTGGAGAAATATGCTGTCCTGAGCGTGAGCAACTTTAGCTAACAAGGAAGCAGCAAGAGCAGGGAAGAGTGGTATCAACAGGAACAGCCAAATTACTTTTTTCTTTTTACCTGCCCAGCCTGCAACAGTGTCAAAATGCCGTCTCTTACTCCAGTATAAAAGTCACATCCACAGAGCTGAAAAGACAGGCTCTATTTCCACATGCTGAAATGAGAAAAAAAAAGGAGTCTCTCAAATGTAGTCTTTCATAAAGATTATGCAGCACAAAATGAAATTAAAAGTATAAATTATATACAATGGTCAAAAGCAGAAAAAACAAAAGCAAGAGTGCAATTCCATGCAACACTTAATGAAATGCAAAATAAAATAATTAAGAACTGCACCTTGAAACAACATCTCTAGGCATGCTTTTAGTACATTACTGACTCTCATCCTCACATTTTGACACAGTATTATGTCTAATCAGGATATCCTTCAAAAGAAAGTCAACTTAAACACCCTTGTGCTTATCACTTAATACCTCCAGAGGTGATTCAGCTAGCACAGGATTAGTTCAGGAGAAAACTTGACAAATACTCCCTGGTAGAACTCAGCATACTTAACTGCTGATCTTCCCTTCTCCCCCCACCAGTGTACCTAAACAGATTAGTTTTCTTGATGATAGACCAAATGAAATAAATAGTCATTTGATATCTGGTAAGGAAACTATGAGATTGATTTCTATTTTGCTATTTTCATGTTTCTGATCATGTCAGATGATTCCTATTTCTGATTTTATCAGCTATTAATAGTAAACAAGTTTGTTCAGTGAACAGTACGCTCATAAGAAGAGATAATTTCATCCATACTAGGCCTACGTTAGGTACTTTTCAAAATCACATAACTCAAAGTAGGTTAGAAACAGATAATGACAAAGGAAGTACATGCAGGAAGATGTAAGCTATGTTAATTCTACTCTACGTAGAATATAAATCCAAAAACGTCTTGTGAGCCAGAAACCTAAGGAAAATAACGTGCAAGTGGTTGATGTCTCTTTAAGAGCTTCAACATCATCACACAGAATTCAGAAGCCTTGTTAAACCTGAAGATTTAATCTGGTACTGGAGTGGCTGAATTTAACTTGCAAATATAAATTCAGCTACTGTGTTTGTTCCTGTGTTGTTCCTGATTTTTTACTCTTACTTACACACAAGGAAGTCACTAACTTTGGTTAAAGAAAAATATACATCTATATACGTATCTGGGTAGCCTTTGATAGCCAATAAAAAAATTATAGTTCATACCATTACTAATTTCCTTGAATTTAATCAGTTTAACTTGAGTCATGTTTTCCTCCAAATGCAACCATCTTGAATAAAGAGCCAGTTTCTTTGCCACAAAACAGTAAAATTTTTACAGCTTTCTAGAGATTCTTCCTGGACCAAATGAAAATGGCTTCTCTGATTTACCTCTATGTATTCTTACCGACACTAAATAGATGTTTTGGGCCTAAATTAGCTTCAGTATCCCATGGAAATAAATTAATCCTTGTATTTAATTTCCATATTAGTGCCAATGAAGTGTAATTTTACATCTTTCACTCTTCCTATTTTGAAGAGCATTTAACAACAACAACAAAAAGTCACAAGCTGGTTCATGAAAATTTTTAACTTGTTTTACTTTAAATTCTTCACGCTAGGGCAGTTTTAACCTATCACGGTCTTAGCAGCTTGCATGTTTAACTAACAGTCCCCCAGTCAAGCCCAACTCTCAGAAAGTACTTAATATCTTCTAACAAAAAAAGAACACTCCCAAACCACCCCCAAAAAACAGGCCTTCCTGAAGTGTCACAGGCAGCACCTAACAACGCAGAGCATACCCAAACTTGCAGTTGTCATCAACCACCTCTATCATTACAGGAACACCTAAAAAGCTCTACTTAAGAAAATTTCTTTAAAAACACTAAATTGATCCACCTTAAATGTACCCTTAGTCTTTGCCTTACTCTGTGACAAGCAAGTTTATTAGGAAGGTTCTACTTTGTGATGTTAGATTTGTACAGTTTAAGAACTACATACCTTTTGCTTATACTACATCTACTCAAGACGGAACGAATGTCAGCCTTGAGTTATCTTTAATATCAGTATTTCAGGGCAGTACATCAATCAACACATGCCCTTTTTTTCCTCCTCTCTTAACTGACATAACAAAACCTTTATGAAAATTAACAAACCCTTTCCAAAAGAAACTTGTTGTACTAGTTGAAAGAGAACAGGGACACCATAGGAACCATACACTCAGCTTAGATAGCTATTTCACAACCCAGGGGAAAAAAAATTGTATTCTCAAATGTATTAAAAGAAAAATAAAATTACATGTTCCTCATAAGCACATTTGACAGATTAAAAAAAACCAACAACCCACCTACAGTGAGAACTTTTGTAATTTTCTTTTGAAATTGTCCAAAAAGTAGTTTCAAAGCAAATGTGAAAAAGTGCTGATCATAGCAAAATTACTCATTACATTTTTGAATGAAGTTCTCCAAAAAGATACTTACTAACACTATTCACAGTTTGATTAATCAGAATTTATGCAAGAATATTCTTGTCAACCCACCTCCCTATCAAGGCTTCCACTGCAACAGTGTTAAAAGATGTCTTCCTTTCTTCTGTTTCAGAATTCCTATATTTCAAGAACAGCTAAGGTCACTGAGGTACAGATGTGCTTTAAGATAGTATCTGCATACTTGCATGAAGTTAGAAGCACTGTCTTTAGTGATCATTTCCATTTTCATGTATGCACACTGTTACGATTAAAAAAAAAAAAAAAAAAAAAGAAACAGTAAAGTACTTTACTGACATTAGGCATAGTCATTTTCCTGGGACAGCTGAATTTCCCACTACGGTCAGGCTTCCCAGGCTTGGGATTTTGAAATACCGATAGGCAAAGGAAAAAATACCAGCAATCACATCAGCACTTAAAAAGTAGCGTGGGAAGCTGGCAGTACGCATAATGAACGTGTGTTTATTACTTAGTTTCAAGTTAAGAAACTTTATCCTGACAGCGACAGAAGCCAGCGTACATCACACTTCCCCAGCAACGGGAGCACAGTATTTCAGATTTGCTAGAAATAATTTTATCTTCTGAGGACCACATACTGTATAAACTGTGTAACACTTTACACAGTGTTATCACTGTAACAACTTACCGTGAACCGAAGGCCTTCAGTGCGGTCTATAAAAATGCATTTAGGACTACAGGAACAATCACTCTGATTATTGATTAACCTTGCAGAATAGATGTCAGTCAGTTCACTTCCACATGCGCACTTCTATCGGGAACCAGCGACATGGCAGGCAGCAGCACCCCCACCGCTTTTTTTCTGCTACAGGACCACCCGCCAGACTCGAGGTGCAAAACTTAAGTTGCCACGGGAAACCGCCGTCTCCCGAAACTCGTCGCGACCCCCCCTCGCTGCGCAGAAAGCAGCGCGCCAAAGCGCGTTTTAACACGCCGAGATGGGTAAAACTCTCTCGTAAGACTGAAAACCCGCCAGCAAGGAGCCCCCAAGCGGCGAAGGCCACCGTCGCCCCGCGGCGTTACCGGAGGGC